GCTCCCAATCAGAGAAAAAATTANAAAAAAAAAAAAAAAAAAAAAAAAAAAAAAAAAAAAAAAAAACTTCTGCGATGCACTCGGTATGCCATGAAACGCCTGGAGACAATACAATCTTGATTTTGGGGGAAAATATCATAGAGTCAAATCTCAAAGTTTCTTGACGAACTCTCGGAAAATTCGTCGTTTCTCGGACGAAAGAACGAAACTATATTCCAAGGTTGCAAAATTGACTCAAACAACTCAATTTTTCACAAAAATGTTCTTATGCAATTATCTTGCGAAATGCTCCCAATCAGAGGAAAAATTAGGGATATTTTCAGTTGTAAAATACCGAATATTCTCCGGGTAAAAATGCAATTTGTGAGGGGGGGGGAGGGATTTAGTAATATTGAACTATGACTAAGCTCCCTTACGTCGAAATGCTACGGGTTGCTTACGCGGCCTCCGACAAATCGTTCAAATTTCCTGAAAAATAAAATTTCACTTCTCGGCGAGATGAATTATCATTTTCCATGTCCGACGCGGAAGCAGACATGCATCGTGAATAACTTTTTTGAACTTGAGCTGCATTACACCACGGCTGAACACCTTGGGTTCTGGATTCTTCATGCGTTCGGGCAAGTTCTAACAAATAAATTACGCGCCCCTGTATCTTCTCAATTCGTCGTTTATCTCACGAAAGATCGTAATTACATCTCAACGTTGCCAAATTTCTCCCCGCGAATGACACTTTTACCAGGAGAATTTTCGGAATTTCCGACTGAAAATTTCACCGATTTTTTTTTCTGGTCTCACACGAAAATTAAACAAATTCTCGACGAAAATTGCGCAGGTTCATTCTTGTAAAAAGTTGAATTATCGATCGAGTCAATTTTCAAACCTTGGGGGTGGAGTTACGTTACTTCGTCCGGGAAACGAAGAATTCTGCTCCTTCCGGACATACGGACGGAGCTACAATTGGACCGCGTTAAATAGAAAGGAACCAGGCCACATCAGCTGTTGCCAAATTTAATTGGGCAATTTAATTTTTTACACGAAAACGGTTGTGCGGATTTTCGTGCAAATTTCAGTGAAAATTCTCCATGGCACGAGGCAAATTCGTTAAAATTTTCAAAGAAATCCGAACAAACCTTCTCTCGTAAAAAATTTAATTGCCCAGTTAAACTTGGCGATAGCTGGTGTGGCTTGGTTCCTTTCGGTTAAACTCGGTCTAATTCGTAATGAGCCCTATCGTCCATATAACTCAATGCTATCCCGGGCTCATCACAAGTGCACGGTTACGCCTATTTGTCAGCCAGGCGACGCACAGCGGATCGAGTCAATTTTAGAGGTCGGACGTGAAATTGTTGACTAAAACTGCAAATTTTGATGTTTATTTCGTCACATTTTCAGTTTCAAGTGGTGCTTGTGGACGAAAATTTCACGAGGAAACCAATGGAGCCACTTGTAGAACCTTAAGCTTTTGTATAAACGGAGTTATACAGGGTTGCCACAAAAATTTGGAAATGATTTTCCCTGACTTTTCCAGGTTTTCCTTGACGAAAAATGGAGAAATTCCCTGACCTTTGAGAACGCGAAGAGGGCATTCCAATTTGCGTTGCTTGCTGCGTTGGCGACCAAATACGGCTGCATAATTTAACTCTTGAATGCATCGCAAGATATGCCACTTCATCGCGATTCATACTGCGTTCAAGACCGAAAAACGAAAGATTTTAAGCAACTCGTAAAAATTGTCAATTTTTCCCTGACTTTTAGCTGTTTTTGGTCAAATTCCCTGACTTTTCCAGGTTTTCCGGAGCACTTTTTTCCCCTGACTTTTCCAGGTTTTCCCTGAATTCCCTGACCGTGGCAACCCTGGTTATAAGCGTTAATAGTTTCCGAATTTTGTCCGACCTCTCCCGTTGACCCGATCCACCGTGCGACGAGTCGCTGCACACGAATGTTGAAGGTGTGCTGAATTTTCATTCTAGGCGCGTCGTCGTCCGAAAACTTCTCACAATCAGCCATGCCGCTACGTAGCAACGTCTTGGGCTTTCTTCTGCGAGCAGCGCGGCGTCCGTCGTGGCGCCTGTTTCGCCACAGGTGCCCGCGCGATTTCGTCACTTCCCTACCACCGCCACCGCCACCGCGACTCGACAAAGCGCGCGGCGTCACCCAGCAGCGTCGCGACGTCCCCCCCCCCCCNCGCCCCCCCCCCCGCCGCCCCTCCCCCGATCGCGTCCCGCCGTCTGACGTCGATCGTGGTCAATGATGGGTCGATTGTATCAGGAGTTGTACTTCGGCACACTTACGAAGTATTTAGTTGAGGCGTAACAAGGAGGAGATTTGCAATCATCACGATTATTTCCAGGATTTCTTCATTTTTAAAATTCCCGGCTTTTTTTTCTTTCAATACTACCAAAACTTCAGGGTTGCCACAGAATTTAGAAAATGAAATTCCCTGACACGTTTTGGTGGAATTTGCTGACAATTGAAGATGTGACAAATGGTTAAGAAGGCATAATTGAAAAAAATTTTCAGGCAAAATCTGTTGTTCGAAACCTCAAACCCATTCTAGAAAGCAAATAAAGGTGATTTAACAAATTTTCGCTGACATTATCGTCATTTTCCCTGATATTTCCCGGTTTTCTTGACTTTTCGAAATTCCCTGACATTTCCCGGTTTTTCCTGACTGTGGCAACCCTAAAACTTTCAAACTGCCAGAATTTTACTGATGTTTTGACACAAAGAGGAAGAAAAAAGTTGGATCCTGCTAAAACATGAAAAAAAATTCCCTTTCTGAAAATTCCAATTCGTTGTTTCTGAAAAGGAGGAACGTAACTCCATTCCAAGGTTGCAAAATTTACTTTATCTATTAATTTATTAACAAAAATGCATAAGTGCAATTATTGTCTAAAATTTTTCCGATCATTGCATGAGATTGGGAGAAAAGTCAGTGAAACTTTCAGTTATAAATGCCGAAGATTCTTCTAGTATAAATGCGATTTGCGAGGGGACATTTGGCAACCTCGAAATGTGGTTACGTTTTATCGTGGGAGGAACGACGGATTATGGAGTAAGGCATTCAAAATTTTTTCGCGCTCTCTCGAATGGGACCAGGGTGCTTCTCATAAACTTCCTGAATTTTCCCCCCATATTCACTGACTTGTTCAAGTTGCCACAAATTCCCTCACTATCGCAGTTTTCAAAGACACCAGAGGCAGATCCAGCAATTTGGCAGGACCGGATTTCCTCCATTTAAATCTACGCTAAATGATCGATTCTTGTCGGAGCACCTGGCCCCTCCAAGAATCGATACATTTCCATAGGTTTGAATGGAGAGAAGGCAATGTTGCCAATTTGCTGGATCCACCAATGCAAGACACTCGCATGCGGTGATGTCTTACATTGTAGCGTATTTCCGCTCAATGTGGGGGCCTCCAGTTGCATCGGAGAGTCAAATTGGTTGACCGTGAATGAATGAAGCGATGCTGAGGCAAACGTGCATGAAATCATTTTCATCTCCGAGCGTGGGCAGCTCCGGCAAGATAATAACCCGTTTAATGAAAAAATAAGCCAACTTAAAGAGGAGATGCAGCCCTGATGTGTCAATGTAGATCCTCTATTCAGCGAAGACTTTCGAAGAGAGCACGCGCCATCTTTAGAGGCGGATCCAGCAATTTGGCAACACCGGATTTCCTCCATTTAAATCTATGCTAAATGATCGATTCTTGTCCGAGCACCTGGCCCCTCCAAGAATCGATACATTTCCATAGGTTTAAATGGAGAGAAGGCAATGTTGCCAATTTGCTGGATTCGCCGATGCAGTTCTTTCGATGCAGCGAGAAAAAAAAAGTCGGTGCGAATAATCAGATCGGTAACTTCCAAAATCCAAATTAAACGTAAAAAATGTCTAAAACGCCTCTACAATTCTGCCTTGCTAGGGGAAAACGCCGAATAAACCTCAGGCGTTGCCGAATTCCTCTGGCAAATCACTAATTTTCCGGAAATTTTTTGAATATTTTTCTGCTAATTTCTCAGATAATTTTGTTCGTAATTTGATCTGAAGGGTCTGAAAATTTTCTGAAAAAATATTAATAATTTTCCTCAAAAATAAACATTTTATCGAAGGAAATTTGGCAACTCTCGAATGCTCATACGGCGTTCTTACTCAGCACGGCAGAATTCGGCTTAAAAGGTATTTTTGGAATAATCCTGGAGAAGAGCCGACATTTTTACTACTTGAGTTAAGATAACGGTGGTCCTCTTTGGAGTATTGCAAGAATGTTCTAAGATCCTCGTTACGTAGACTAGAATACTACCGGTGTTTTAACTTAAAACACCGCATAAACCTCCCTGCGTTGCCAAATTCCCTTTGACAGAGCGCGGATTTTCATGAAAACTTGCGAATACTTTCCGTCCAATTTTTCAGAGAATTTTCTTCGGAATGTGATCTTGAAGTTTCTAAAAATTTCAAGGAGAGATACTGATAATTTTTCTCAAAAATTAATTTTGTAGGTGGGGCAATTTGGCAACGTCTGAATGCTCATACGATGTTTGACCTTCGCACGGCAGAATTATATTACGTTTAAAATTAGAGTGTGACGGCTCTACAACGCAGCATGGTATGGGAATTGAACTGCATTTTGCAATTTGGAACTATTAATTCCGGCCCGGTTTAAAAACAACGTATGTGCCATTATAGTTTCCCTACACACATAAGAGTTTGTCCGGAAGAGCCAGAATTGATAGTTCCAAATTGCAAAATGCAGTCCAATTCAAAAGAGCTACAGCAAACGGTTTTGAAGAAGGCTCCAACTATTTTAGCGAAAACTCAACCTTTTAAAACCAACGAAAAATGATAATTCAATGCGGACTGCTCGGCTAGGATTTGTCTGTGCACAGGAAAATTTTATTATTACTATAATAGGTACATATTTGCAAGCTCATATCATGATTTTAATTTCATACTATTGAACTACCTCCTTAACGTGAACTGTTTTCCCTTGTGTTAACAGATTCGTCAAGGATGCTGCACACTTCTTGGCGCTGATGAGGTACTATCAATTCAAAAACTACACCATCATCGACTTATTCCATAGACAGTTGGAAAAACAACCAGATAAAAAAATACTGAAACACTTAGAAACATCATGGACGTATCAAGAGGTGAGAAATATTTAAATCTTTTTCAATAATATTAACTAATGATGCTGCAAAAAGGCAAATGCGCACTTACTCAGAAACCGAGAAATACGTGGTTGAAAAAACGCAACTTTTCTGCGGATATAAAACGCCCCGATTTCGCGCCAAACCGGAAGATGTCATCCGGCACCAATCAGAAGCGAGCACGGATTCCTACTACTTCCGTCAAATGCATTTCTACTCCTCGACAATGAAAACAATAGGAAAGTCGAAAATATATCTTTGGAATCAAAGAATTTTATCTTATTCATGACATCTGTGGTAAACAAGCAATAATTCCACGTAGAAATACGTTTCATTTCAACGAGCATCAGTGGAAAATGAGAAGATATAGCGATTTCACTACCGCAGTGTTTTACTGTCGTAATTTTCCCGCCATTCCGGTGCATTTAAAATTCATTTGAGTCTGGGAACTTTTTATAAGCGGGCTTTTCCGGGATTTTGACCGAAAAAATACGCATTGAATCACTATGCAATCTACTGATCTGATACTTTCAGGATATTAAATGAAAACGAAAGGTTTAGTAACCCATTTCGAATAAAATCCGACCAGGCACTTTTCCGAAATAAACGCTCCAATTTCTCCTAGGATTCTTTTTTTCTTCTTTTTTTTCTTTCTCTTGAGTCCTTCACCTTCTGCAGTTCAAAGAAATTAAAATAAGGGATTCTTTGTCCTCTAAAGTCCTAGTCCTAAAACCATGGTTGATTTTGATGAGGAAAGTTCTTTCCCACTTTTCTATCACGGATACCCTCTTAAAACTAGCCTAACCGAGCCGATTTGATGATATGTGCAGCTGGAGGACTACAGCAATCGCGTGGCCAACTACTTCCAGAAGCAGGGCATCAAGCGTGGGGACACGGTCTGTCTCTTCATGGAGGGATGCCCGGAATACGTCGCCATCTGGTTAGGATTCTGTAAACTTGGGGCTGCCACCGCCCTTATCAACACCAACCTGCGACAAGCTACCCTTACGCACTCCATTAACGTCGTCGCGGGAAAACACATCATCTACGGCGCCGAACTTACTGACGGTGAGTTTTACTTTAATTAGACAACGTTTCGCGATAAGAAACTACTATATTTCTGACTCTAGTTTAAAGGACGTATGTGTCATTGGTTTCACAATGCAAATAGGTGGTTTTATGGATGAGCCAGACAGAGTAATTTCTTAATGCAAAATGCAGCCCCCAACAGATCACTACTTGACAAGGTGAATTTAAGCATTCTATAAATAGATTACATTTTGCAATAAGGAACCACTATTTTTGACTCATTTTAGAAACAACATATATGCCATTGGTTACCCGATGCAGAAAGGTGCTTTTATGGAAGAGCCAAAGAAAGTGGTTCTTAATTGCAAAATGTAATCTAAATGTGAAACTGCAAAAATTCGTATCTCGGTTGTAGTGTTTCGAAATCTCCGCTCCTATTTAATTTTGTCAAAGGAGAGAGAACCATGATCTTGAACTTTTCACAGAATATTCTTCAAGAAGAGATGGAAACCACTGAAATGTTCGGAAAATGACGTTTACTAGTTTTTCATTTAGAAAATAAAGCATGACAGGAACTCTGCATCGCCGCAAACCGAGATACGCTGTTCTGCAGTTTCGCCATCGATACGTATCTCCTTCAAAATGTTGCGTAGATTGCGATTTGTGCATCGGAAATTAATGAAATAACCTCCGAACAAAGATATTAAGTTTGATGATGGGCATTGATTAAAAAAATTTGAATTTACCGCTCACATGAAAAACCAGAGTTTAACTTAAAACAGCCATGGAATCAGAAAGTTCTTAGCCTTCCCATTTATAAAGCCTTCCAATTTAAAAAAAACCTTTTTTCCTCAGAAATTTCATGTAGATGCCTTTTAATGACTCTGTATGCGTGTGGTTTGCCGCGGTTTTGCGCAAAACACGTTACTTTTCACGCAGTTTTGCGCAAAACACGTTACTTTTCACGCAGTTTTGCCCAAAACAACGCGCGATTTGGCCAGGCCTCGGCGCTTCCTTATTTTCACACGCAACCGATTGCGATCCACCCACGTTCGAAAAGTTTTTGCACCTCGTCCTAAGAAGGGTCACCGCACTACAGAAAAGACGCAATCGATTAGAGCCTGAGATTGACTTTAAATTGTTTCGATTCTTGTTTCAGCTCTTAAAGAGATCGCCGGTTCCGTGTCGGATGCAAAATACTACGGTCTCAAAGGTAATCGGCCCGACAACCATGGTAGAACCCTCCTCGAAGGTAGCATCCCGTTGGACGCCAATCTGTTGGAAGCGTCCAAGGAGCCACAACCGGCGGCAGAGTTGAAAAAGACCAAGATCACAGACAAATTCTTGTACATCTACACTTCGGGTACGACAGGAATGCCCAAAGCAGCCATAATGACTTACATCAGGTAAGTTAACATATTAGATGCCATATCACATACTAGGATTCTCGATAATGCGATAATACAGACTGAGCAGCCGAATCGTAAAGCACGGTATCTACTAGAACATGCTGACCAAAAATTAGTACTTTTACTGTACTTTTTCAGTACATTCCCAAGAAATTCAGTACCTCCTCAACAGAAAAATTCAGTAATTTTTCAGTACCTCTAGTTGACGAAATTCGAAGTGTTTCAAAATTTTTAATTTCTCGCTCAAATTGCGACAAAAATGAAAAAAATTCGGACCTTCTTGCGGAAATTCCGCACTTCTCCAGTACTTCCAAACCGCCTTAATAAAATCATCAGTACTATTTCCGGAAATTCCGGACTTGTAGACACCCTGCGTTAAGACCAATTGGTCCGCGTAAAGCAGAAAGGAACCATGCCGCATCATCAGCTATTGCCAAATTTGATTGGACACTTCTATTTTTTACATCAGGGTATCTACTAAAAGAGGCTGGTCAAAAATCAGTACTTTTACAGTGCTTTTTCAGTTCATTCCCAAGAAATTCAGTACCTCCTTAACAGAAAAATTCAGTGCTTTTTCAATATCTTTAACTGACGGAATTCGAAAAATTTGAATTTTCCGCTCAAATTGTGACAAAAATGAAAAAAATTCCGGACTTTCTTGCAAAATTTCCGCACTTTTTCAGTACTTCCGGGCCGCCCTTGAAAAATCAGTACCATTTCCGGACTTGTAGACACCCTGTACACGAAAAAAATTGTGTAGATTTTTGCGCAAATTTCGGTGAATTTTCTGCAAATTACAAAGCAAATTCCTAAAATTTTCAAAGGAATCCGCACAACGTCCTATTGTAAAATATTAAATTGCCCAGTTGAAGGCAATAGCTGATAAAGACTCGATTCTGCTCTGCTAAACGTGGTCCAATTTTAACCAGGGAACGGAATTAAAAATGGACTGTATTTAGCGGAAAATATCCAAGTAGGATTTTGAAACGAAAAAAACGACTATAAAATGTTATTCTTGCATCCGACTCAGGCTCAAAGTAAAATATTCATTGAGAGTCCATGCAAAACTTTCATTGTTTCGCAAAAGAAAGCACCAACTAAAAAAAAATAAACAGCTTAAGTAGTCCACTTGATGAAGTTTAATTAATACTGGTGGCGAGGCGTCCCGAGGTATGGATGATCGATTATCGATATTTCCTCATTTAAAGCTATGGTAAAGAATCGATTATTGAAGTATTCGTTGCGAACACACTATTTATCGATCATTTTCCATAGGTTTAAATGGCAGATCAATCGAACACCGCAAAGCACGTCAAGATACTGATTGATACAAGACCGTTGGGGGAGTTCCAAATTCAAATAAGATGAATAATTATACCTCAAGAAACGATTGAATGAATTAAAAAACTTTTACGAACTTGTGTACCAAGAAAAATACGATGAGAAGAAAATGAGAAAAACTTCGGTACAAGAATGCGCTAATTACACACTCTCATTCATGTTCGACACAAAATGGAAAATTGGGCATTGATAAGTGGCAAGCGAGACCCCTGCAAACTATCAACTATGCAACCAAACACACGCTTGATCGTGAGAGCTGAATAACACCGACAAGCCCTTCCCTATCTCATGTGGTCATGCAAATGCTGTAAATTTGGAGTTCAAGGTACACGTCCGAACTGATTTAACAATTTCAAATTGGATGCAATTATTCACATGGGTAAAATTTTCCATGTGAAATTGTGCTCAGAAGTCACGATGAGCGATCGGGAAAGTCTGAAAACACTCCTAACTTAACAATCTACGTGAGAAATGCGGTTTTTTTTTAAGCTCCCCGCTTCAAAACTATACTGCCGCACAGAAGAACATTCCGTAAGAGGAGTCGTTCCAGCCAACCCTTGCGTACTAGAATGCTACACAATATTCAACATGATTGACGCTTCCGCGCACAAATCATGAGGAGGCACCATGGTCTTCATCAACGTAATGAAAGTGTAGGTAAATATACCCACGCAGGTTGATGAAATCCCGTCTCGTCACCTATGTGTTTTGGTGGGTTGACGTCGGAAATGTTGAACATCGAAAATCTCTTACGAAATGTTCACATGTGCCGTGGTATCATTTTTGAAGCGGGAAGCTTAAAGAAACGCAGATTGTGAAGTTGGGAGTGTATTTTAGACTTTCCCGATCCGTTTATTGTGATTTTTGAGCCATTTTCCATGAGGTACAACTCCTCTTCTTGCCCAAAAAGAAGAGCTTTTCTTCTTCTTGTTTTGTCTTTTCTTTTTGCTCTTGCCCATTTTCGGAGAGAAAATTGCAACGCATTTGCTTAAATTAAGATTTTGTTTGATTTTACTGCACTAATCAAAATACTGAAAAACGACCAATGGGCCTGTTGCAAACTTTTGCTAGAGCAGAATGAAGAATTGTTTCTTATAGATAATGCCTCAAAAATCACGATGAGCGCATCGGCAAAGTCTGAAATGCACTCATAAATTCACAATCTGCGTAAGAAAATTGCGTTATTTTGAGCTTCCCGCTTCAAAAACGATACCACTGCACAGGTGAACATTTTGTTAGAGGAGTCGCTCCATCGTCGGCAATATTCATCATGGCCGACGCTTGCGCAGTTCCTCGCGTAATTGAGGAGAGTTCAAGGTCAATTAAGGCGGGCGAGGAAAATATGAACGTAAACACGCCTATTGTTATGTGGTTTAATCCTGTTCAGGTGTTATCTCGTCCCATCACACGTGTTTTGGCGGACTGGCGTCGGCCATGATGAGTATTGCCGCCAATGGAACGACTCCTCTAACAAAATGTTCACCTGTACCGTAGTATCGTTTTTGAAGCGGGAAGCTCAAAAAACCGCAAATTTCTTACGCAGATTGTGAAGTTATGAGTGAATTTCAGACTTTGCCGATGCGCTCATCGTGATTTTTAGGGCATTATCTGTAAGAAACAACTCTTAGTTTTGCTCTAGCAAAAGTTTGCAACAGGCCCATTGTTCAAAATTATGTCCAACTCGTAACTCGAAATTTTTTAATACCTACAATAATTGCATTTTTTTGCAGAGCAATGTTCATGTTCCACGGTCCTCACATACTGCTTCATATGAGTGAAGATGATGTTGTCTACACACCTTTGCCATTGTATCACACGGCTGGTGGCATCCTTGGAATATGTCAAGCTCTTTGCATGGGCTGCACAGTTGTTATCAAGACTAAATTTTCAGTTTCCAATTTCTGGACGGATTGTGCGAAATATAAATGCACCGTAAGTCTCAAATATATTACGATTATATCCTCGATGCTAGGGTCAATTTAGTTTGAGAGAGACGAGAGAAATAAAACGTACAGAAGAAGGAAGGTATTCAATCAATGTATGTTTCTCCTTTTGAAAAGTGAGAAACAAATGCGCCCTCTGCTATTTTAACACTCTCAGTTTTCACATCATCACGCACATCGAAACAGGATGTTATACACCCGGATTCAGAGTGTACACACACGAACCAACGACCTTTCGGTCGTTCACGAATTGCGTAGGCAACAACTTTGAATGATGGATTATATAAAATATATTACGTTTTGATGAAGATGTGCTCCATTTTAGTAGACACCTTCCAAAGTTGTGTGCGCACGCTGCCTTACGCATTTCCAGAAAGCGTGCGCGTATACGTATGCATCTGGGAACTTTCAATTAGCGCGGGCTCGTAGAGGCGGTGCAATGCTTGAAGTATTCTTACACCTTTGCAGGCGCTTCCCAAGATCGTTCTGCGCACCAAACTCGAAGTCTTAGAAATTTTCTTCCCGAAGACGAGGTCCCTTTTCACAGATCCGATCACAGTTATGAATCGACAAAACTTTCTCGCATATCCAGACCAATGAGATAATGACAAAGACCCTGGTATTTTTTCCGCTAACTCAGAGATTTTAACGCAGAGTAGAAAAGTTTGATGGGGCAAAAGCGAAACGCGTGATACCTACAACTATCTTGACTTTCAATTGGGTAAAATTTCATACGCACAAACTGAAGGAGAACACAGTTTCCAACTTTTTACGCATCAAAATTGTGGAGCTCTTGTTTACAGATTAGAAAGCATCCCTTTTATAACAATTGAACGAAGCTGTAAACTTAAAATGGCTTTTCATGAGAGCTTGGCGATATATCCTCATCATAATGGCTATAGCCAAGAAGAACAAATATATGCGATAGAAATTTTTTGGTGAATGCCTAGGACATTTCGCTGTTACGATATAAAATCGTTACCTATGAAGAATTTGACAAACACATTTTTACTTTTCACTTTGCAGGTTGCTCAATACATCGGTGAAATGTGCAGATATCTCTTAGCTGGACCCGTCAAGCCGGAAGAAACACAACACAACGTTAGACTGATCGTTGGCAATGGTCTGCGAGCTCAAATTTGGGAACAATTCGTGAAAAGATTCAATATCAAACAAGTTGGAGAATTTTATGGTGCTACTGAGAGCAACTGTAACATAAGTAAGTTCCTTGCATTTTTAGAATGAGAGAAAATTCAGTTTCTTGACAATTTTCAAAATCTCTTTACATAGAGAGTTAAACTCAAATTTTCCAGTGTTGGGTTGAAAACATAAAACCTCACACGATTTTCACCACAATATCGCGGAAAACAAGCGATTTAAATATCGGTGGTTGTAAAATATTCATTAATGTCAGTAATTTGATAAGAGACGCTAATATTATCCTTCAATTTAGCGTGATACCACATACCTACTTCGGAGTTCGAATAGTTGCTCGCTTCATTTCCGTTCCGCTGCTTAAAAAGTGAGAAATTGCGCGAATGGACCACTAGACAAGGCACGCATTTCAGCATTTTGATACATGTTTCTTCACCAAAATTTCACGTAAAACACGACGAAAATTACCGAAATCAACTCCTACCGAAGATATTTAATGATTCTTGGTGCGTGAATTGAAACCACCCGCTCATAAAAACTCAATGCTCTACGTGATTTACATCGCGCGCTAAACGTTATCATGAACGTCTCTGCGATAAAAAAATCTGGCAACCTCAATATTGACACTTTGGCTCAGTTATAGCAAATTTGTTATAGTTTGAAGAACACATGGTGGGAAATGAACAGTGCTCGATTGAGAGGCTTGCTGAAACTGTTGTAGTGCGCGATTTGACTCACGTACAGCTTTGAGTTTCTTGTGAGCGGGCAGTTCAAATTCCTCGTAACCAGTTCAAAATAAAAATGTTAATATCTCTATTAGAAGTTAGTTTCAGTAATTTTCGTTGCGCGAATCGTGTTCTACATGAAATTCTGGTTAAAATACACGTATTAGAATGCTTAAATTCGTACTTTGTCTAGTGGTCCATTGCATCTCAATATCGCGAGAAAAGCTATATTTACCCCGTATTTCTTGAATCCAGGGAAATTATAAACGTTTAATCTCGGAATCGAAGGAAATGCACTGTTCCCAACATTTTGTAAAAATAAAATAAAAATGAGAAATTACGCGATGATTACAGCGATTTCGTGGAAAATACACAATATTTCCAGCGGTCTAGCAACATCATGAAAAATAACGCATTATGCACTTCAATATCGTGGCGTATACTCGCATTTTCCAGCGTTGGATTAAACACATAAAACATCACACAATTTTCACATCAATATCGTACAGAAAACAGTCGATTTAAAGATCGGCGCGAGCATAATATTCATATAAACGTCAGTAATTTAAGATAGGCAAAAGGCTAACATTTTCCTTCAATTTCGCGTGATACCACATACCTACTCCAGAGTTCGAATTGTTGCTCGCTTCATTTCCGCTGCTTGAAAAGTGAGAAATTGCGCGAATTTCATCTCAATATCGCGAGAGCAACGCGATATTTACAGCGTATTCCTTAAATCCTGATAAATCACGACTAGACATCCCGATTCATCTCACTCAATAACCACGGCTTACTTAGCTTGTTCATAAAAATGTTTCGGCTCTATTCCACGCGTCACTGAGCTTAGTGCCAGCCGTAAGCCGACATAATTCAAAGACAAACTTGTGTGACCTGCTCTGAAATGTGAGACTCTTGAAAATTTGAAATTTTTCTTGAGTTGAATTTTTTCAAAGCTTAGCGAAATGCTTTAGATCTTGTTACGTACAACATTGCGTATACATTGCCAATAATGCCAATATACTTGCGTAACTTTGATCAATTAGAAAAGAGTACCTCTCTTTCGTTCCAATCAAGTAATGTTAAATTTACTTTAATATTTCAGTAAATGCTGATAATACTGTTGGAGCTGTTGGTTTCATTCCATGGTTCGTGAAGCCTATTTATTCTGCAACTTTAATTCGAGTTGATCCTGATACCAGTGAGCCCCTGAGGGATGAGAGAGGATTGTGTATTCCTTGCAAAGAAGGTAAGCCTGAAAATTTCTATGCAACTTTTATCATTGTACTCGGATATTCTGAAATTCTAGTATGAGACCAAGTTGACCCGCCTGTCTTTAGTTACTCTCGCGCTTCCCCTAGGAGTAACAGTGAAACTCCTAAAAAACATACCTCGTTTACGCTTTTTTAAACTCTCCGCTTCTATTTTATTTTTCTGGAAGAAAAACGTCAACTCTTTTCTGCTGACTCAGAGACCTTAACGCACGAGTAGAAAAGTTGGAGGGGCGAAACACGTAATACAACTATTTCGACTTTCAAGCATGTAGAATTGCATATCCACAAAATGAAGGAGAGCGTGAACTCTTTTCGACTGACTCAGAGACTCTAACGCATGGGTCGAAAAGTTATATATGGTGCGAAACACGTGATACAACTGCTTCGAGGCTGCTTTATTTTAAGGGAAAGTTATGAATATTCCTGTAAGAGTTTCAGATGATCTTATATACTTACTGACCACTTTTTGGCTTTTAATAATACGGTACTTTCTCTCTGTAACGAGAATTCAAGGGACCGGCCGACTTCCTCGGTATAGAGAGATTCTCGTTACAGCGATAGTCGATATTTAATCTAGGAAGTTCGAGGGACCGACAGATTTCCTCGTAACAGGGAGATTCTCGCTATAACGATAGTCGTTACAGAGAGAAAGTACTGTAGTTACCATTTTTGCTTCTGTTTCTTAAATATTTTTTTAAAACTGAATAATTATGATTAATCAACATTATTTTTATTCATCAACAGGAGAACCCGGACTTCTGATCGGTTTGATTAATAATCGTAAGGCAGAGAGTGCTTTTCATGGATACGCAGACAAGAAAGCCTCAGAGTCTAAAATTTTACAGGATGTATTTGCGAAAGGACAAAGTGCTTTCAACTCAGGAGATATTTTGATCTGTGATGAGCTGGGATACTTCTACTTTAAGGATAGAACAGGAGATACATTCAGGTAAGTTAAATATGATAAAAAAAAGTAAAATAGAAGAATAGAAGAACGTAACTATACTTCAGTTCTGCATGAGAGGGCACTATAAAAACTGCGTTACCTACCCAGCAAAAAGTGGTTGCGAAAACTATATCACAGCGCAGTTGTGATGGTTTGCCAGTTGCTGGGTGGGTAATTATATGAAAAAGGCATGATAAAACCCAATAGCTTCTCGCAAATAGAACAATTTTAGACTCTATTATGTATACACACTTAAAAGAAATACCAATAAAGAATTATTGATTTCGAGAAAATGTTTAAAAAGCTAACATAATTACATACCTTTGTGCTGAAGATTTTAGAATGTGCTTTGATTCACATGCTTCACACATTAAGCCAAAAGAGAGGAAATATTTTAAAAATGCTTCCACACATTTCTTCACATCTGAAACACAAATAAATAATTACATTAAAATGACTGAAGAGTAATATGAGAAGAGTTCATCATCTAGAATCATCAATGAGAAGGTCTTCATCTAGAAATTGTAATTACTTCTAAGTATTAATAGGTTTTGACCTAGACATTTAAATGGCCTTGCTTTTTCATGATCTTTCTAAGTCTATCATCCATATTTTTGAAATTTTTTGACTAGCTACAGGTGCGGATTCTAATTATTTCTGGTTTTTTTTTTTTTTTTCAATCTGTTTTTTAATTCAATTGTTTTAATTAACAGGTGGCGAGGTGAAAACGTCGCAACGTCCGAAGTTGAAGCTGTGATAAGTAATGTAATTCAACTTAATGATGCAGTAGTTTATGGTGTAGAGGTAAGTTTGACACCTGCATGGCACAAAATATTCAAAACTTTTATCGAGAGTATTTACATAAACTCTCAGCTAAGGTTCATTTTGAAGTTTGAAAGTCAGCATGAATGAGTACATGGCGACATTTTTAGATAGTTTGAAACATTAATCATCAGGAAGAAAACAACGACAGGAAATGTAATTTCGCAAGTTTATACGGCTAAATTTTTGTTTCACCTCCGGTTCAGCACTAGTTAAAGTTCACCGAACACTTTTGAAGCTAAATATCAATAATAATTACGAAATTCTACTCCGTAACTTTTAATAGGTTTTCATCATCACTAGGGGGCAACGTCCCCTGACCGATCTGCAGTCCAACCCCACTTCGCACTTCACTTGTTATGTTTTACTCTTATGATTGTATATTATAGAGTATGAGATGATTTGGTAAAGATATTTTTCAGACAGATTATTAGAGCTATGTTCAGAGCTTGGTACTTATATTGTTACAAAAAAATGAGAGGCTTCAGAGGGGTAATCAGGTACTTCCAGGTTTTTCTGACATCCTGCAGGTGTATTAAAAAATTTAAAATATTTACCCAGCTACTTTTTGCATCGATGCTACCAATTTGAATAAAATTATATGAATGATGAATGACACTGGCCACCGAATGAAGATTTGCTTACAGCTACATAATGTAAAGGAGCTGTTTTGTTCTCATTGAACTAAGATAATTCACTAAAAATAAATACGAATAATGCTAATATGAAATTAAGTATCGCCCAAGAGAAATCTGAAGGATGTCAGTTGGTATCACCCGGTCAGAATCATGATCATGCAGTTCAGAAAATCCTTTCACTTTGAAACTAAATATTGTTTTACTCATTGAAATGAATGTTTTCAGATAAACAATGTGGAGGGAAAAGCTGGGATGGCCGCAGTGGTTGATCCAGAGAAAAAAGTTGACTTGAAGCAACTTGCAGAGGGTATTAAGAAGTCCCTACCTACTTATGCGAGACCTTTGTTTTTAAGAATAATGGAGAACGTGAATTTGACAGGTTTGTTTTATTGCTGACACCTCTCTGAGTAGGTTAATTCTGTTGGCATGACAATTTGCAAAAGTTATGATTTTCTTGAAGTGAGTCATTCAGTCACACAAAACAAAAATCAGCTCCAACAGTTAATTATTCAGCAAACTAAACTAGTCAGCAGGAAGATAATCTCCTGTTGTGTACCTTGAAAAACTCATGAAACTTTTAGAGTTTTCATTTATAAAAAAAGTTGGCTTTATTTGTCATTATCATACCAACAGCCTATCTGTTATTCTTTAGTGTTGTGACGCCTGTAAATCATTGATCGTCGCCACCATGCTCGGATTACATTTTGCAATAAGGAACCACTATTTCTGGCTCTCCAATGAAAGCACGTATCTGCATAGGGAAACTGTTGGCATGTATGCTGTTTCTAAAATGGGCCAGAAATAGTGGTTCCTTATTGCAAAATGTAATCCAATTTGTAATCCATTCAAAGAATCATATTAAATGGTCCGTATCCTCAAAGTAAACCATGAATTCTAGTTTGCTGTTCCTGCCAGCAACAATAAAAAAGGTTTTTAAACCAGGCAGAGGATATAATTGAAAGAAAGCGGTTTGGGTTCAAAAGGCACAGAGATGCATAAAGGTTAAAAGATGTACAATTCATTCAACCGCGAACCTGGCCGTACATTCACTGCAGGTAGCGAGAATGCTTTTTTCACTGTACTTAAATTTTGCCAAGTAAGAAATTTTATTACCTACCTTCTGGTACTTTACTTACAGTGAACATGAAGAAAACTTCTGAACTCAATTTTGTACCATCTTAATTTTAAGTTCATGTTTTACAAAGATGTGCAAGAGTATAGATGGATAAACTCCCTTTGATCCTTGCTCGGGTTATTTTTGTAAATGAAGAATTCTTAATGTTGTAAAATTTAGATATTACTTCCACCCTACAGTTTAATAAATATAAGATAATTTAATTGTACTTTTTCTTTTCCAGCAACTTTCAAATTGAAGAAGACTGAACTTGTAGCTGACGGATTCAACCCTGCAAAAATTAGTGACCCACTTTACTTTGCTGATTTAAAAACAGGCGAATTTCAACCACTGACTCAACAAGTTTACGATGATATCCAGAGTGGAAAAATACGATTGTAGTTACCGATGGATCTACTTATTGATTGAATCGTTGCATCTTTCTCCGTATAAGGAAGAACTACTTACTTAGGTTTTAGAATGAAAAAAGTTCGAATTCTGTGCCTTTTGTAAAATTAAAGCTTAGAAAAAAGTTGAAGTGTTTTTATAGTCAAATTTTTGTACATTAATTTTAATACAAAATTTTATGTGTTACGCGAACTTCAAAGGAAAAGTAAACATAAGAAGATAGCAATGCATTAATAAAAATCCAGAGTTAAGACAAACAATCCTTGTATTTAAAATAATTTGGCTGCCTTTTGTCTCAGGTGATGTTATGTACCTAAACTATCTATGCCTTAGAAATGTGGCACTCTCGGCAGGTAATCGGATAAAGATTGGCTTAGTAAAAAAACTTGTGTTACTTAGTGTTTTTAAGCTGTACATTAATTTTAATTTTAGGTAAGAAATTTTTCTTTAACGAGTGCTTTGGGAGTAAATGGGAGGTGGAGTTTCAAACATGTAAGCGCCTTGTATTGAGCAGCTAATACATCTTTCAGATATTGCAACTTCCTTAAAATGGAATAATATTCTGAGCATGCTAGTGCGTACCTTAACTTCTGAAATCATTAAGTCCCCGTTACTAGATTTGATTACTGCTAAGAAATTTCTTTATTATCAATTTTATTAAAAATTTATAATGATAAAAAAAAATTGCAGATATTTTTGTAGGAGGGAAACTGGCAAAAAAAAAACCAGACAGAATTTAAATTGATGCCTCCTAATTGAGAGAAGTAAGAGTGCTAAAATTTTCCTGTTTTGCTATTTTTTTATGTAAGAATCACATTAAAAGCTCACTGTAAAAAGATCTCTATGACCTGGAATCATTTGCTCCCAAGCACTGGACTGAGATTACTTACCATGGTTTCCCGTATTGAAGTTATGATAATTGGAAGGCTGAACTCTCTCATTTTACATTTGCCTATTTTGATCGATTCAAAATGTTCCAGTGATCTAGGTATTATGTTTTTTTAGTGTTAATTCGTATGATTAATTTTAAGTGTTGAATTTGAGTCATTTTGCCGATAAAAATGATGTTTTGATCAAATGATCTGTGAATTATTACAAAAATACATTTGTTTTTATAATTCTTTACTTATGGCTTCTTTCTTGAATATACCATCCTAATATCAATAAAAACACACTAAAATACAAAAACAAAGGGGTATACAAGGCTATAGAGGATAAATAAACAACCAGGACGTTTTGGGCCAATTACATGCCCATTCTCACTCTATGATTCTCAACTGGAACAAAAGCTAAAAAATTAAAACAGGTCAGTTGCATGCTCATTTTCTTGTTTTAATTTTTACATTTTTTAGCTTTTGTTCAAGTTGAGAATTGTTGCTACCTAATATCCTTCTAGTCTACAGCAAGAGAAAAAATATTTGTGACAGGATCTGTGAAAAGAGACTTTATCTTCATGGAGAAAATTTTCTACAAATTTTTGCGAACACTTACCTAAACCATGTTTTTCTACAACCTAAGAGTTTGTGTCTTGAAACTTGAGGAGTAATATCTCCTTCAATTTTGGAGTTTTTAAGGTCAAACTTGCTCAAAAATTTCCAGATTATCTTCCTGTACTTAGGTATGTACAAAAAGTCATGGAAAATTTTCTCCTGGGAAATAAGGTCCCTTATCCTATTCCTGCGGTTCCTGGGGATGATAAAAAGGAGGAAAAAATAAGTCCCTCTGGAGATCAATTAGTTTTGCTTGATTTTAAAAAATGACTGCCGTTCACTATGACTACCTGCTGCTAACACCCATTCACATACTTACCAAAGAAGCGACAGATTCGTAAATGTATAAATGCTAAAATTAAGGACGAAAATCAGCATCAATCGGAGCAAAGGCTTCTAGGCATTCAGGGATTTAATGCCCATTTTGCTCACCTTCGAATAAAGAGAAAGGAAAACATAAGACAAAACACAGTGCCTGGGTTCCAATGTACTAATGATGTTTGCTTGGTCTCTCAAGCATGGACACTTTAGTAAGGCATTTTCGGACAGCATCTCTATCCGCTCTATGGGCAACCTCGTGAGTCCTCCACCAAGGCGCTCCTTGTCCTAGGGATGTCGATACTTAACCGATACTTCCAAAGTATCGATACTTTTGATCGATACTCATCGATACTTGGCATCGATACTCAAAGATATCGATACCATGTGGTATCGATCCTCAAACCCCAATATCGATGGTATCGATACTTAATCTAACTTGGTCATGAAGAAGGCCTCCTTTTCTTTTTAAAAAAACTTCTCTCCCTTCTATTTCACCTTCACTATGCACTGTGACAAACGACGGAGTAATCAAGTTTCTCAAGATGATTACTTTCGTTAAAAATGTTAAAAGCTCGGTTCCATAACTGTAGTAAAGGGCTCAAAATAGTTGACTAAGCACGCGAATTGGGCGGTTTGGAGAGAGGCGTAAATCTGGAGGAATTTAACGGCCGACAGACATACGCACACTCCAAATTACGGCATAATTCAGAAAAAGTATCAATGGTATCGATACCTAAAAAGTATCGAAACTTCAGCTCGATGCTCGATACCGGTATCGATGCTTAGAGTCGATACCAGTATCGATACCGAGTATCAAATCCCTACCTTATCCTCACCAAGGAGCAAGTTGGTAGAGGGCTTGTCAGGCAGTCCATCAGACAGACAAAAGACCAGCTCAACACGCCATTACAGCAGAACACCTTGATGAGCCTGAACCCTAAGTTTACTTCAACAACTCATCTATCAACATTATCCTCAAGAGTGAAGGGACCTTCACGTAATAGTGCGCTGGATAATAGACTGTATGATCAGAAAATATGTCCAGTACCGCCCGTAACAGCTGGCTAACTAATTTGTTCAGACTTCTGATACATTACCACCAGTTCATTTTCTGTTTGGACGGATTTAAATCAAAAGGAATTGTATCTATTCTGATCAGAGCTCTGAGTTACATGAAAATACATGCATAATGGGACTCATGCAAGGATGGATATATTTCCCTTGGATTTGAATGCATCATTTGCAAACCTGATACCCCTATTTGACATTTCGAGGATTGATAGTCGACAGCAGCACTGCCATGCACAGATTTACGGAAGGGTCCACCCTGCTTGACGTTCAAAATTAGGCGAGTGTCAATTAATCTGTGGCAAGTCCTCAGTTATTTTCAAGAATAACTCAGCTGACTTTCAGAAATGAAGAATCACAATTAAATGGGCAATTACGTTGGTATCAGGATGAGATCTGCAGCTCCAAGCAGTGGGTGTCATTTTACATATTCAGGACCCGTCAACTGAATAGCTGCACACCGAAACATTTCAGTAATGATGAGTAACACAACAAAAACCTGATAGCGACTAAAGCATGATAATGTTTAGATGAGATGAATGAGAAGGGTACATACAGGGTACAGGCGAGAAAAGTAGATAATGAATACTCACTTGTTGCTTAGGTTGTGTTCAACTTATGGGAAGTTGCCCTGAGAACACAAGGGATTGAAAACGACTGACCAAGCAATCTACACAAATTTGAATTGCTAAGATCTCAAAACGAACGTGAAAATAATTGTCTGGTTGATTTCTTTCTAATCACGATCACACGAAAAACGAACAACGGACGTGAAAACAACAAGTTTCAACATGAACACGAAACAGAGACAAACACGAAAGGAAACTAACCTACAAACGAATTGGTAGCCAACACTCCAGCACCAAAATAATCAACATCGCAACTCTGAAAGCCATAATATTGGAGGTACATTTTAACATTAATTCGAATGACTATCGTATAATTTTTAGAACAAAAAATCTTAATTAGTTTTATTGACATTAGAATATTTGTTTCCATCATGATTCTGGTTATTTTCTTTCGACGCAAATTCATCTGCCAATTGCGGGGTTGAGAAGTAACTGTTGGCACTCATGAATCAACAGAGTTTGAGCGGGAAAAGTTATGATCGCGCGAAGTTCAATGACCGCGCAACAAACTCCCATGAGGGAGGGGGGTGGAGGGAACTAAACATTTGAAGATTTTAATATCCGTCAGAGTCCGTAAGACCGCCTAAACTTTGTTTTACAAAAAAATATCTATTCCCTTCTCCACCTATCCTTGCGTTATTTACTGTTGCAATATTTGGCTCTCTCCATAAAGGAAGATCTTCAGAGGTATATAAGGTCAAAGGTAAATTAAACTCATTACGTCAAGAAAATAAAATAAAGATATTTTTAATAAATATTGATGTATACATCCAAAATAGGTACACGCTCAGTCTTACAATTAAAACTGTCAAAAATACATTTACAGTGAAAATATATATACAAAAACATACAGATGTCATTGATGAAGCTCTGACTTACAGAAATTTGGTAGCCATCGATATATAATATATATATATGTATTAAGCTCCGTCAGCAAAATTTCCCGGTCCGGGGACAAGGTAACTTTTTTTTCCTGTCCGGGGATTGGCCACCGTCACCCACGTTGCCAAGTCTGGCAGGTCAAAAGTCTGAAAATCACATCAAGACGCCGCACAGTGGATCGAGTCGATCAGAGGGATCGGACATGAAATTTGTGACCAAAACTGCGAAGTTTAATGTTTACTTCGTCACATTTTAAATTTTAAGGGGTGCTCTTAGAAGAAAATTTCACAAGGGAACAAATGGAACCACTTTCAGAACCTCAAAGTTTTGTATATACGGAGTTACAAGCTTTTTAAGTTTCTAAATTTCGTCCGACCTCTCCTAATGTCTCGATCCACCGTGCGCCGGGTTTTTCTTCAATTTTAAACGCAATCCTCACGCTAGACCGACAAATGCCCCCCACTGACAAATTTCTGACGAGTATTTCACAAGAGTTTTAATGACATCTAAGAGGATGGAAAGAAAAACTTAAATAACTGATAAAAATGCACGGGTTATGTAAAAAAAATTCTCTTCCGAATTTTTAATGTAAAACGAGTTTTATTTCTAAACCTGGCATCCAGGCGAACAAACCTCGAAGGGTCTGTATTATCGAAGAAGAGATGAACACAAATAACGGGAAATAGGTGATCTACAACGCGAATATCCATCAAATTTTGTTCAAAATTTATTTAAAAGCTAGAAATTAGGAAAATTTTGAAAGTCTGAAATTCATCGACCAAGCAGAGAGCGCCAAATTTTTTCCAGTGGAAGGGTCGAAACGACGATAATCCCCCCACGTAGCCACTCTACTTTTTAGGTGCTACAACTAACGACAACTCCCGTGCATTCTGAGGTGAGAAAAGCGTGAAAAGCGCCTTCAATTTTTGAACATGCAACGCGCACATCCGCGGAACACAAATAGTTGCATCAAGGCGCAACAACCTACTCAGTGCAGTATTCGTTGGTCGAGATGCTATCAGAATTATAGGCCTTTGATACTCTGGCCTTGTTACACTAACTGGTGATACGTACTTTCCTTTTCTCAATGATACTTTCCAGTTTCGTTTAAAATTCTCGCAAAATATTCGTCAGAAATCAGTTGGTGGGGGACATTTGTACGTTTGCGTGTGGATTGCGTTTGGAATTAACGCAACTGAGCCCGTTGGCTTACTTTTCAAACTTTTGATCGGCTAGTCCGTGAACTCGTTGTCCTGTTTGGACTGGGCAATTTCGCCAACTGGGAGTATAATATATATTTACAATTGTAAGTATGATGGCTTTAAAGGGTCTAGTTACTGAGTATATTAAGTGACATTATTGTGGTTTCTAGAAAAATAATGACCTAGATTTAAAAATCCATCGAGACGCTATTGCTTTCACAATATTTAACTGGTCTGCAGGAATCTTAAAAATCAAGCTGGGATTCGTATTGTATACAAGGAATTATTGTGAGGCTAAAGAATTAGGAATTATATATCAATGGCGAAAGTGCGCGGCACTTTATCTCCGTTTGTGACGTTTCAAACTTCCTATCATACTTCATTTTCTTTGGAAAACTAGTCAGCGCACTTTTTTTAAAACCTCCGAGACTTGTGTCTCTGTTCGCAGAATATTCTGTGTAAATTTTAAGCTAGCCATTTGGCTCGTTTCTCTGAAAAAGAAATGAAATAGGAGCGGAAATTGTGAAGCATTGCAATGGAGGTACATGGTTCCTCACTTTGGTCATCAACATACTCAAATCCTCTGGTAACATCGCTTAACATGTTCTTCAACACGAGATATGCACCGCAATCCAACCCCGTTGTGATCTAATTGAAATGTTTGAAAAATTAAATTTTTCAGGAAGTATCAAGAAATTATGACCTCATTTCTCCTAAATTTGTCTTCTCACCCCCTCTCGTTTTTGGGTTACTTTTCCGCAACGCTATCCGGAATTTTACTTTCACATATTTCCTTCAGTTGTTTTGTTTAGCCCTGTAACTCATCTTAAAGCGAGCGCAGACAAAGCGCCTTCATTTTTGGCGCATGCAACACGGACATCCCTCAAGCATGAATTGTTGCGCTCTACATGGAATACCCATTATTCCATGCTCTTAAGAGAATTACAGTCAACCAAAGAAGGCGTAGATATTGGTAAAGAATCATCGTTCTTCGCAAAAATAAAGGAGAGAAATCCCATTCTGTGGCAATGCGTGAAGATCGATTTATCGATATTTCTCCATTTGAGGTTGTGGTAAAGAATCGATTATTAAGGTGTTCTTTGCGAACACCCTGTTTATCGATGCCTTTTCCATAGGTTTAAACGGCAGATCAATCGATATATCGCAAAGCATGCGACGCCAATGATCCCCTTTTAAATGAGCGGAAAAATTGAGCAATAATATGTATTGTAGCAGCTCTACGCACAAGCCTATATAAGGAGCCGTTCATAAAATACGTAACACTTCAAGGAAGGAGGGGGGTATAGGGGCCCACGCCGCAAAAGCGTTATGAAAGGGAAGGGGGAGGAGGGTTCAAAAACCAGAAATTTTGAGTTACATATCTTATGAACGGCCAATCCTTACCACGGCAGCACACTGCCGTGCTATAGAAGAACGTCAAATGCGCCTTCAAAAGTTGCCGAATTTCCTAGAGTAAATCACGAATTTTCTGAAAAGACGGTGGTTTTTCTCCCATTTTCAGAGGATTTCGCTCGTAATCCGATTTAAAGTGTCTGAAAATTTTGAGGAAAAATATTCATGACTTCCCTCAAAGATCCATATTTTCCTAGAGGAAATTTAGCAACGTTTGAACGTTTATCCAGCTTGTTCTCCATAGCATAGCAGTATAGCTGCCGATACTTTTCGCTTGAGCCGCGCTGAGCAGAAAGAAACCAAGCCACAACAGCTACTGCCAAATTCAATCGGGCACTTTAATTTTTTACGTGAAAATGGTTGTGCGGATTTTTGTGCAAATTCCAGTGAATTTTATGATTAGTGCGAAACAAATCCCTGAAAATTTTCAAAGGAACCTGCACAACCGTTCTCTCGTAAATATTAAATTGCCCAGTTAAATTTGGCAATAATTATTGTGGCTTGGTTTCTTGCTGCTAAACAAGGTCCAATAAAGATGTTGCATGTGTGAGGGATTTGCGATTTGACCATTCATTCTCACGTAAAAGTTCGCGAGAAACGCGATGGTGCCACTGGTTTTCTCTGAAATCATCTCCCAAGCTCAAAAAAGCTCTCAAGTTGAGGCCAAAATGGAGGTGATATCCCACCCTACCCTGAGAGTCCACCTCTACATCAAGACAAACTCTCCATACAAAGATAGGGAGCGAATACATTAGCAGGGTTGCCGTGTTTTCAGTTTTGGAGTCCCCAAATAAAGTGGCAGCCCTGTCAATGTATTTTCTCCCTATCATTGCGTGGAGAGTTTGTTTTGATGTAGAGGTGGACTCTCAGGGTAGGGTGGGATACCCCCTCCATTCTGGCCTCACTTTGAGAGCTTTTTTTGAGCTTGGGAGTTGATTTCAGAGAAAACCAGTGGCACCATCGTGTTTCTCGCGAACTTTTACATGAGAATCGACAGTCAAATCGGAAATTCCTCACAAATGCAGCATCTCCATTATTGTCACCAAAAAAGCTACGTTTTAAAAGCTGGGCCGGTATCGACGAATCCTGGAGGGAGTACAAGCTCGGTATAGTTGCTCGTCTGTCTGAAACCCATGGGAGGGACGTTTCCTCGAACAATGGTCACCGGCTGTATCGGAGGGTAGGCTGGACTCAGAGGTTTGATAAAATCATCCACTGAATTCTGTTTATCCCTGAAACAAATGAGAAACATTCGAGGTATAAAGAAGAAGCATTGACACATAATTTGCACTGAAAAAAAATTTCGGCGTTTTTACCACGGTCCGTGGGTACCTTTACCATCTCACTTTTTTTACCAATTATTGTGGTAATTTTACCGAGACAGACTGGTAAACTTACCTAAAAACCGGTATTTTTACCGTTTTTTTCAGGTAAGAATACCACTTTTATTGGTAATCAATTCTTGGTAACTTTGTCATTTTATCTCGGTAATTCTACCACAGTCGATAAAAAATATTGGCGTTTTTACCAAGGTCCAGTGAAATTACCGAGCAAGTTCAATAATTTTACCGAGATTTCTCGGTAAAATTACCAATTCCATAAATGGTAATTTTACCAAGAAAAATCTGGGATCAAATAGAACCCTGAATTCTTGGTAATTTTACCCTTTTCTTAGTAAATACACAGAGATTTTTTTTTCAGTGTGATCATCAAACTGCTAAACGGTTCCAGAAATAGGACATCGTTAAGTATACTAGTCCACTAGTCGTAACATCATTGAGGTTTTTGGGGAGAAACCTAAGTTCACTGAAGTAGGACTGTAAAAAGATTGTTTGATTGGGGTGCTTGTCGACTGTGAAACAGCAAAAATGTGTATACCTCGGCTGCGGTGTTTCAAAATCTCCGCTCATGTTTAATTCCAATGAGACCAAATCAACATCACAGCTTAAGATTTTCACAGAATATTCTTTACAAAGAGAAAAAAATCGAACAGATAGATTCTGAGATATCGCTGTAGACAGATTTGGAGGACGCCGGACGGACGGACACACATTTGTTCAAGTATGGTACCTTAAAACGTCAAGAAATGATGAAATTTCAACTCCCCCCCCCCCTTGGCGGATGACAATACTTTCTCTACCCTTAGGTAGCGAGAAAGTAAAAATTACTGAGGTTTTCAAAACATGACGTCCAGTAATGTTTTATGTAAAACGTGAAACATGACAGGAAGTCAGCAACGCCGCAAATCGAGATACACGTTTCTGTAGTTTCACCGTAGTTTAGCGTTGAGAAAGGACTGGGTGGTACGTACGCCCTCCATACATGAAACGTCTAAATCGCTTGCCTAATACGGCCATGCTGAGAAAGAACGTTGTATAAACCTCCAGGCGCTATCAAATTTCCTTTGATAAATTACGAGTTTCTTGAGAAAGTTGTAAATATTTATCTTCCGATTTTTCAGAAAATTTTGTTCGCATTTTCATCTAAAATATGTAAAAGTTTCAAAGAAAAGTATGCATAACTTCTTTCAAAATGAACTTTTATCAGGGAAAATTCAGCAACATTCATTGGGCATTTTTTCCGAGCACGGCAGAATTGTAAGGCGGGTCGGAATAAATATTGTGCATTTTTAGAAAAAAGCATGAAACTTCCAGGAAGTCCTCTACACTTATAAAGATACGAAATTAAAAAGTGTGCCCGTGTTTTTAGGGTTTCTGGGGGGCCTGGGTTGGGGAAACTATGACATTATACAATTTAGGTTTTTAGTGAGAAATTGCATCCTGAACTTGGTATGTTTTATACTTTTTTCCAGAAACACACGATTCTAGCAGAGCTTCTCGCTAACCCGCCCCACTATGAAATTAGATTACATAAAATGACAACCTGCTCTAGGTATGTGCGGCAATTTCAACAGTCACTTTACTTTTTTATCAAAGTCCACGTTTTTCTAAAATAGTCAATCGTAAAAAATAATCTTCACTTCAGAACTGCAACTAAATCCGAGTTCTCCAGCAGTAAACATGCAGCAAATATCACGGAAACGATGGAATAGCTGATTCAACAATTTTGTTATTTAAAAAAGTGTCCGACTTGTTTGAATGTAGATTTTACAAGAAAGAAGTGCTAATTAAACAATCCTCGTGGTTAAATTAGTTTTCCACTATTGTAAACTGTATATTTGAAACATTTCGGACATGTTTTTCAACAATTTAAATCAGCAATTAATATTTTCCGTGATCCACAGTAATCGAAGCATTTCTACACGAGATACTCTAAAATATGAACTCGGAAGGCGTTCAAGTTTGACCTCAATGAAAAATTAAACTCATTTGTTATCGGACAGAAATGTACAAAAGGAAATTGATTTTCCGCCTCATACATTTTACCAATGTGTGTAAAGCTGTTAACCAGGAGCTTCGTTGAGTCAGGGCAGAGTTGAATGACAGTTCTCCGTGAAAGCAATATCATCTATCAACGCATCGAACGCGCGTCGATCAATTCAGAGCTAATACTCAGCCGCAAACTCATAGGATATAAGTTTATTTTTTATTTTAAAAAAAAAAATCACCATCTCGCACGGCTTCCTTTTAAACGAGTATTAACATAGTTAAGATAGTCGATTTTAGTTGTTATCTTGCGGAGGAGCTGTACTTATAATTGAAGGGCTTGGAAGACAAAAGAAATTTATTTTTTATTTTAAAAAAATCACCATCTCGTACCGCTCCCTTTGAAACGGGTATTAAAATAGTTCAGATCGTCGATTTAGTTGTTATCTTGCGGAGGAGCTGTGCTCAGAATTGAGGGGCTTGGGAGACAAGGCGCATATGTGCAGTTTTTTTTTTAAAAAAAAATGAGATATTAATGATATCAAGTAAAACTAGTCTTATTGCATATTCTGTGAAAAACTCGCTCCCAAATTCCAAGTTTTAAGCATGGGAAGGTCTGTTCGAACTTTCTTTCCGCCGTAAGGCTCCATGAAATTTCGAAACTGAAAGATTCGTTCGTGGGTGCAATTGACTTCATGTCATTTTTACCAAGGGTTTCTCTCTCCCCGAAACAACTCACCACTATTTTTTGAGAAATTTGTCGCTTCTCTACGATACACTAAAAACATTTTTGTTCTCCCTGGTATTGTTGTTGTTGTTGTTGGTTTTTTTTGTTTCCTGTTTTTTCTGTTTTCTGTTTTCTGTTTTTTTTGTTTTTTTGTGTTTTTGTTTTTTTGTGTTTTTGGTTTTTTTTTGTTTTTGTTTACAATAGAAAAAGAGGTGAAAATTGGGTAGTGTGTGCGGCGCGTGCATAAAGACCTGATAAAGACGAGCAGGATATGAAACAGCAAACTTACAATGCAGTATGAGAGGCATTTTGATCCTGGTACCGACTTTTGGTTATATAAGAAAGCCGAGGTTGAATTATCCCGTCAGCATCGCTGATGACGGACACCGAGGTAGAATGCTGGTCGGCGCTCGGCGGCAGAACATGATGGATCCGAATCAAGTTGTGTCTTTTCTTCTTGCAAGAGCCGGCCAGGTACGAGAACAACGATGTCATCAGGAGCAAAGACATCAGCACAACGACGAACCTGAAACCATCAGGGCTGCTTAGAAAGATCTAGGTTAATAACTACTCGCACCAGCAGGAGGGATTATTGCCCAGCCTCCGGCAGACAGGGAGAAATTATCGCAATTTAACAGACGTTTGCGAAACTCAGTAAGTATGATACAGTTTCTATCACATCATTTGTAATTATCAGAGCTGGGACAGGGCACTGGAAAAAAACACATCGGATCTAGAGTCCAGACTCTTAAAAACATCGACAAGAAAAATTCTCTTGATTCAATCAGATTTAAGCTTAAATCAAGAACCAAGCCTCTTAATGGACCACTAGACAAGGTACGAATTTAAGCACTCAGATACATGTTCCTTTTGCAGAATTTCGCGTAAAACACGATTCGCGTAACGAAAATTACTGAAACCAACTCCTAACGAAGAAATTAACGTTTTTATTACACATTGCTTACGCGGATTTTGAACTGCCCGCTCACAAGAAACTCAAAGCTCTACGTGAGTCAAATCGTGCACTAGAACGGTTACAGCAAACTTCTCAATCAAGCGATGTTCATTTCCCACCATGTGCTGTTCAAAATATAAACAACTTGCAATAGCTGAGCTAAAGCGTCAAGATTAAGAAACAACTTAATCAGCCAAAATACACATAATAAAAGAACAACTTAATTTGGGGAAAAGGCTGCAAATGAAGAAAAAGGAATAAACAAAACCCGAGACGTTTCAAAATAATAACAATTTCATTATCAACCGGAAAATAAATTAAAAACAAAAATGAGCCGTCGCTCCGCTGTAATTGCGAGACCGAGTCTCGGTCTCGCAATTACAGCGGAGCGACGGCTCATTTTTGTTTTTAATTTATTTTCCGGTTGATAATGAAATTGTTATTATTTTGAAACGTCTCGGGTTTTGTTTATTCCTTTTTCTTCATTTGCAGCCTTTTCCCCAAATTAAGTTGTTCTTTTA